GAAATAATTCTTTCTGAAAAGCCAAACTAATTACCTTTAAATTGGATTTTAATTCTCTTGGCCATTAATGAGAGAGTCTGAAGAAAAAGCGAATGTAAAAGGTTTCTAGATGTTCAGCTGTTGTTCGTAGCTTAAAAATACATGCACTAGATACGTTCAGATAAGATTGGTATTTTTATTGGTGATATTTTGAAACCTGTATTGAATGTTACTTTTATAACACTAATTTGAAATCTGTACAAATTTGTGGGGGAATGCTTTGGAGAGTTTTTGTTCTGTTTATTTTAAGAAAGGGGATCAAGGTAAAGTGCTTTCAGGTTTACCAGCTTCCTTCCCTGCCCAGCAATTTTAGTTACTTTTATCCCTCAATCTCTCTTCTGTATCATCAGGTAAAACATTTTTGAAAGAGAGAAAAGGTGAAAGTGAAAACTCAGAGATTACTGATTTTTAAGAAATGGAATTTTATGGGTTTTTTTCAGTAGTCTGAAGTATATTTAGGTATATGATGTAATGTGAGTATTTAGGCAAACTAATTTATTTATTGCAATGATTGTATCACATGCTTTAATATTAAAAGGTGGGGATTTCTTGTTTGCCCACAAAAGTAATTGTCAAATATATTTTTAATTCTCTTTGTTATTCTCGAAGTTTGGCTATATTATTTCCATTCAGTGTCTGGCTGTATTATTTCAGTCCAGAAGTGAAAGAAAAACTCTTCCATCTCTATCTTTCAAAACCTTTTAGCTTTTCAAGTGCTAAAATACTCAAAGTCTTTTTTCCTGCCTGCTTGTGGAGAGGGCTGTTCTTGTCATTGAGAGGGGGCGGAAGTAGATAAACTTGGAACTATTTTCAGAAGATTTCTATCTACAACACTGCATGATTGTTCTCCCATTCTCCAAGTGAAGATTAATGTAATAAATGCTGCGTATTTCAAGACAAGGAATGGTTAGGAAAACAATGACCTCCACAGGAATGAATATACAGAACTCTCTTTTTCCTGCCTTCTCCATCCCTAAATAGATTTCCAGATCATAGCACTCAGCCATTAGCTGTATTTATTTGTAGAATTGACCTTATAAACCGTTTTAGAAGTAAACTGCCCGTGTCTTTTGAGGTGGAAAATAGGCGTATTGCTTTGAATTGCGAAGATTTATATAAAATATATCTATATATAAAATATAAATAAAGATACAAATATATATGTATGCAGCAAAGAGCTGCTACTAAGATTGGGGTTTTTTTATGTAGCTTCAGCTACATATTCAGCTTGCATAGCTGAATGCAGTTTGTATTCATGAGTAATTGTGCAGGCAGTGTTGCTAGGTCATGGTAAGAATGGGGGTTATAAATTTTATGCCTCAGGTTCCAGCCTCTGAATATGAACTAATTCTTTCTGGCACTGAGATCCCTCTGCTGTGTGACAGATAGGGGCATTCGTGTGAGCTGAAATTACACTGCAGCCGTTTCAGGGTTACTGTACAGCTCCAGGAGTACTGCTCCTTGGACAGCACAGAGGCTTGCATGGGGTAAGAGTAGCCCAGTAGCCATACAGCATTGCTGGTGCTCTTCTAGAGACTGAAAATATTATTAGCATTTCCCTCCTCCCTCCCACCCATATTACTTATATAGAGTTTCATCATGTGTGTGATCTTGCATCTGAAACACAGTCCTCCATCCTTCTGCCCCCAGAAGCACTTCGTTAATTCGCCCTCCTCTTCTCTGTGCTCCTGGCTGCAGTTACATTAAGAGCCTTATTTGAAGGTGTGTGAGCAGTGAGTAATATAATGCAGCTAGTGCAAGTGAATCACTCGAGCCGTGATAACACAGAAAACAGTAGTACCCTTTTATGAGCATTTACTCCCATGAAAGCTGTCAGCTTCTAAAATTAGGCATGAAGCACCATCATGGGAAATTCTTCCCTTTAGGGCTTGCCCTTTCCAGTTTACCTTAATCTTTCAGATAGAAAGACTTCCCTTTATTGGTTACATGAATAAACCATTGGACTTACTTCAGAGATACCACCTAATTTAAAGGTGAGATTGAATCAGTTGTTGAAAACAGTCTATTTGGAGAAGCTTAAATAGCTTCTCATATTGTGGTATCTCACTGAATTGATTTTCCCCCTCCCACTTGTTCACCCTGGGGGGAAGGTAATCATTATTTTAGCAAAGATAGCAGGAGTGGAAACTTTTAAATCACAAATAGCAGTGTCACCTTGACACATATCTGTTCTTTGTTGCATTTTCACCTAATAAAAAATTACTTAATCTTAACTGACAATGATAAAACTCCTAATGAAATCAGTTTTCAGAGTTAGCAAAAAAAAAAAAAACCTTGGTTAGAAAGAGGGAAGAAAATTAGTAGCATCTTTTAATCATCAGGAAATGACAGGCCAACAGGAGCAACTTACTGGAAACATGGGAGGGCCGGGCGCTCACTCGGTGTAAATCACCAGCAGTGGCGGGAGGTGATCGGGAGCATTTTAGAGCAGTGTCTCTATGTCTCAAATACTTTATTATCTGGAGTGTTCAAGTGAGTGAAGTTTTGCCATGGGAAAGTCTTCTCTTCAGAGCTTGCACTTTCCAGGATACCAACTTGGTATTTGTACGACATGTTATTGTATATACTCAGTATTTATAAATGATATATAATTCTCCATTATATCAACATATATTGTAATACATACACAGTGTATTATATAATGTGTAATATTTCAGTATCTATATACTGTTATGTGTATATTACACGTTACATGGCTAAAAGGAAAATATTTCATGCTCTACTGTGATGAGTTCGGATGAGCACTTGGTGGTTAAAGATGTTGTGACGGGAGCTGAAGATTTCATCTGTGCAAAAATTACCTAAGGCTTTTGTTTTGAAATTTTAGAAGTTACATCTGATGGGTATAGAAATATTAAAAATTATCTGGAATATGCCTGCAAGTTCTGGTGACGCCTCCTGAGGCTTCATGTCTTTATTTGAATTTTTTAAAATTACACAAATCATTATTAAACTAAATTCAAGGTTTTTTTTTTTAATATGCCATGTGGGTTTCTGTGTTGCAGGCAATGCTCAGAATAAACGTGTTGCAGAGAATCATATTTCTGTCAGGGCTCATTAGTTGTAAAAATAGATCCTGTTGATCTTGTGCGCCTATAAAACATGATCAGCCTTGGTTTCCTTTAAGAGCACAGAGGTTTTAAGCACGCAGCTAAATGGTAGACCTGTTGTTCTGTTGCTGCTCACTTTTGTAATCAGACTAGAAGCTGTAAGTAACGAAGCTAAAAACAAAGCAACAAGAACTAGTGACTCAGAGCTCGGGGACGAGCAGTTCACTGCGTTCACCCCCGCACAAAGTTTAGTTTGAATGCCAGAATAAGACATGCTGAATCCCAAATTAGAAAGTGCCCTGGATGCTTGCAGGCGGACGGGTGAATTAGGTTCTGTTAGGCAATTCCCGTAAACGTGTGCGTGTGGAATTCAGCTCCTGAGCGTGTGTGATGCTGCAGCGGCAGAAGGACAAGCGTGAAGGGATCCGGGACGTGGCCCCGTGGGGATGTTTCATGGTGACCCCCTGCAGGCCCGTGGGCCGCTCTGCTCCTTGCAGGGCGGCTTGGCAGTGTCAGCGCTCCTGGTTGCAGCTACTCAGCAGTGCTTGAGAAAACAGTGTGTACTAGGAAGGTATCCACTGTGGTTGGTGCTACCACCCTGGGGTGAAGGGCTCCCTGAGGCAACCTGAAGAGACTGCCTGGTGCCTGGACTCCGGCGTGCACGCTCACCTCCCGTCCTGGAGATGGCCTGAGCACATCAAGCGGCAGCGGGTTTTGCGTTCTCCCCGGAGTTCGGGTGTCCCCTTCCCCCCGACAAGTCAAGCTGAACGTGTATCTGATCTCACCGACCACGGCTGAACCACTAAGGCCCTAACTGGAGAGTCCGTCTGTGAGCGGGTGTGAATTCCCTTCCTGGAGCCTGCACGGCTGGGCTTGCTGGTCATCCCGTTCATCCTACGCGTGCTGGTTGCAATTCTTAAGCACTCATGTTGGGTATAGTCCTGCCTTTGTGAATTTATGGTGCAGTCTCTTTCCTTTTGCCTGTTTTCACTATTTATCTATTTCACTGTATATCTGTTTCACTATTTATGAACAGTCCTTTTCCCTATTCAAAGTTTATCGTTTCGGTTTGAATTTGGTATTTGAAAGTCAAAGTTAAGAAATGTTGTTAGTGCAAATGTATTGATACAGAAGATACGATACTGTGACTTTTTAATAGCTTTGGCATCCTAGTTGTGATTAAATTTATGTTTTTACAGGTGAAGGCTGCTGCACTGACCACAGGAGAAGCATTTTCTATGATTTCAGCACTACAGGCCTTTAAAGTTTTATATACTTGCTTGGAAGTCGCATAGTCTGTTCTTGCTGATGTAACCTTCAGTGAGATCTCCCTGAAATATGACCTGATCATGAGTTTATTTCCTCTCTGACTGCTGTTCTAGTGTCTGAAATTCTGAATTATTAAAAACTAGAAATTTTTAAAAATTAAAATTTTAAATTATAAATCTGTTTTATCTCCATTTATTCTCCTTCCATGCCCAGGTTTTGTTTTCTCATGTTTAATGAACTACAGGTCTCTTGAGTTTTTGTAATAGCATTTTTTACTTAGTAATATGAGAGAATTACGTCGTTTTTGTAGCAGCCTTGTATGTAAAACTGGCAGATATGATGTGTCAAGATGTTACAGTTGTAACAGTAACACGTTACAGCCCTGCCTTCCTATTGTCTTCCTTTGACTTGTTTTCCAGAGATGTCAAGCAACAAAATAGGTTAACATCTGAACTGGCTTGGCCAAATAGAAGATGATGGGGAGAGGCTGTAGCAATCAATGCACACACTGCCCTAGAAGTTGTACCTGCTGTGTAGCATATGAGTGATATCCCTGATTCTCAGTTACAGCAGTGAGAGTTACAGCAGTAACAGCATTTCAAATTACTTCTTCTTTCCTAGGTTTTCTACCCTAGCAAAGATGGTACTAAGATCCCAATGTTTATTATACACAAGAAAGGAATTAAATTGGATGGTTCTCATCCTGCCTTCTTGTATGGATATGGAGGCTTCAACATCTCAATTACACCAAGCTACAGGTAAGCAGCATAACTTACACCTTATTCTGAAACAGGGAGCTAGCTCATTAGAAAAGCTTATAGCTCTATTCCCTCAAACGGGTATTTAAACCCCTTGCTGACCTGTGATAACGTAGGAGATTGGTTTGCTTTTTACCGAGTCACATAATTACCCTAAGTATTGAAAACAATTTAAATATTTAATTTTATGTAAGTAATTAAAATTTAGCAGTATTTTAATATATACTTTTGAAGAGATTGAGTCAGAAGAAAAATCATACTGTGCTCTTAGGTAAAAGAAAAGATGATTTTGTCTTGAATTGCCTACGATGTGGGGTCTGCATACACAAAGCAATGCGTTGTAAACCAAAAATGACATCTGCAAAACAGCATTTGTCGTCCTCAAATCCCATAAACTTCATTGTATGGATCATTTCTTAAAAGGCTTATATCCTCAACAATGAAATTTGAATAGATTTAAGCAAAAGTTATACTGATTGTCTTAGCCCGTTAATATACAGGAAATACTCCGTGGGCAAGATGGGAAAATAGAAATACAAGGGAGAGAATGGAGAGCTGTTCTTCAGATAGCAGAGCAGCTCACCACCACAAAAATAATCTATTATTAAAACAGCCTATTAAGCCTGCATGCCATCATACATTTTGCTTCAGAGTCAGCACATTCCAAGCAATCCTTTGTAGCACTTGCTCTTCCAGGTCACCGTGATTGTGTTGCTAAGTGGCATTTACAGTATCTGGTCCTCTGTAGCCAATACCTTGACTAACAATGGACCTCCCTTCCTGTATCTTATGATTATTTGAAAGTTTTTCATCCGCTTTATAAAGCTACATTTTTAATTTCCTGTGGTTCTTGGGAGATGCAATTAAATAACCAGAATAGTTTTTAAATGCCTTTTTTGACTAGGCTGAAGTACTGATTTATTACAGTTTATTATCAATGCAGAAATCTGTGATAGAACACACCACATTTTCTTTTTTAAAAGTAAATATCATGTACCCATTGATTTAGGATAAGATTTCACATACTGCAGAGAGGACACAAGAATTGAGTGCTGGAAGGAGGAGTAAAAGGTGTCTCACAAATCCTCTCTCCATTCCCCTTTCACTGGCCTTATTGCTTGTCAGATCCTTTGCTCTGCTGATTTAACTCACAAAAATGGCAGAAAAACACCCCATCAAAAAGGATAGGGTAGCTTCTTGCCATTTTATCAAGTCAAAAATTGACCCTTACAAGAATCCAACAAACATCAGAGCCAACACAGCAGGAGAGTGCAGCTAATAGCCAGAAAAAGGAAATAAGGGAAAACGAAGGAGTAAGCTTAACAAGTGCCAAGGGTCCGATATGCTTGGATCCAATTTCAGTAGTTCATAAAATAAGAACATGAGTCTGTAATAGTCCCTTAAAAATAATTACTTGAGACACTGTCAGTCATCTCCAGTTCAAAATGCACTGCATTGACATTCTCTATATATACTTATATATACATTTTCAGCCTTTCTACCCAGGCCAAAGCTGTATGTTTAATAAACTCAAAGAAGTTATTACCTGTCTGTACAAAAGGCTGGAGATTAAAGCAGTGTTTGCCAAGGTCCCTGTGGGCTATATCCTGCAGCAATCCACACAGAGGTTCCCGGTTCAAGTGCTGCCCCAGGCACAGTCATTTTATATAGACAAAAACAGAGGAGGCACGAGGCTGGGAAGCCACAGGATGGGCAAAGCTTGGAAATGCCACGTGATTCCCCTGATCCTGAGTGGAGACGTCGCTGCTGAAATGCAACCAAGCAGCACAGTAGCTGTTTATCTTAACAAGAACAACTCCAATCCCTACTCTTTTCCTGGATAAATAGCCCTGATTTTTATTTGAACTGCACCACTTGTAACGTTTCACAAAGCACTCCACTTCTTCCTGGGGATTCTGTTCTATATCAGATATTCTTGCTAGATGATATTTTGTACCCATTAATATGAGCCAGTTCACTGGCTTGTGAAGCATATTTCTGCTTAATTCAGAAAGTGATGCTGCTTTTTATTTATTGTCTAACACAAAATATATTTTTTTGTTGTTGTTGTTTTCCATGAATACTTCAGAAATAAATCAACAGGTAAGAAGCTCCAGAAATAAAAAGGAGAGCCTTATGTTTGAATGCAAACATACATCTTCCGTGTGCTCCGCTGGACCAAAAAGCTGTAATTGGTAGTATTTCTAGTATAGTGCACACGGGAGCCCTGTCATTAATTACACAGACTGCACACTGAGTTCATGCTAAAATTGATGGAAGTTGCACCTGTGGCTTGGCAGAGCATTTGTGGAAACGCTGTTGAAAATGCACCAATAATGCCTCAGATGCTGCTGATTTACCCTGCGGGAACCAGCATGTTCCCCTTTGTTGTTCTGGGAGTGCCTCTGTACCTACAACAGAAGGAATTTCTAGTGCATCCTGAAATGCAATTGATTGTGCAGCAGACTGTGAAGTCATGTTTTAGGACCAGGTTCCACAAAGCCTTTAGGCAAGGACATGGTGCAGGGAAGACTGTAACCGCTCCAGAGGGTCAGGCAAAATAGCAGCCCCTGGTGCAGGGTGCAAGGTTATTTTGTTCTGTTGTTCTGTCTGCTGCTCTATCCTGCTCCACAAGAGCCAAGGACCATCCACGGTCAGTAACTCCAAGTGTTTTTTGCCACCACCAATGGCCTAACCAACCTCTCTCCAAAGGCACAAGGTACAGCCATCAGCTGCAATACCTGATAATAAATTGGGAATTCTGGAAAGAAAACAAAAGTGCTTTCTGAAGCCCTGCTCCTCACGCTGCTCTATAATGTAGCCAGCAATACCTGCTTTCTTTGTTCCTGATGTGCGTGTTACGCTCTGTAAGAAACAAGTAAAAGGCTCAGGAAAGACTTCTCCAGGGAAGGAATTATCTTCCCCTCCCTGCACTGGCTCCTTCGTGACCCTTTTCCCCTTTTCTTTCGCCTTTCTCATGCTCCCAAGGAGAGAAGGAAAAACAGGGTAGGTGAGAAAAAGCAGGTAGTAGAGACATGGGGGAAGAGCAGGGAAGCCGGCTTTCCCATCCGTACGGAGGCATTTCTTGGACATACAAGGGAACTGGGCAGTTTGCTGTGACTCAGTCACCAAATTGACTTCAAATTAAACCTGGAAGCAGGAAGCCCCCTGGAAGAACACAGTAGGCAGTAGCAGAGCTGTGTATGAACCCTGCATTTTGTACTGTCTGGTCACTTGGGATTTTCACTTTTTAAAGGTCAATTATCTTCTAATGAGACCTTGTTCCCTGTATTTAAAAAACACTTTGGCAGAGCTCACAGTAAGTTCTTGGCCAGTTCACCTCTAAACATTGATCAGGTTATCGTTCCACTGACCATACCCAAGGGCATAGCCTAGCCTCAATTAATAGCCATTTGCAGTGAAATTCCAGAATGTACATAATGGGGCAGTATTTCAGAAATGCCCAAATCCCAGTAATATTGCTGGGAATAAGCACAGATAAACAAAGTGTGCTGACTTACAACTCAGGCAGTGTAATGGTTGTTACCAAACTTGGGTTTATCCACAGTTACTGAGGGTCTGTGCCACAGAAAGGAGTGTTGGTTCAAGGAAATGGGAACAACCCCGTGTAGTAAGAGTTGACTGCAGTGGGTTTCTACTGAAATAAAGTATCCTGTGAGATTATAAGACACTAGGGTTGTGTGAAAATTATCATCAAGGTAGCATCTTTGTTAGAGGAAGCTGCAGACAGAAGAACTCAGGAGTTTGGTTGCATGTTGCTCATTTATGCTTTGCTGTTTAATATGCAGGTTCCTCAAATAAAAACAAATAAAAACAAATAAAGTTTCTTTCAAAGTGTGGAATTTGTTCCAGGATTTGTATTTCTAAATACTCTTGGGCAGTATATCTGGGTAGTAAACTCATACCTTACCTGCAATTTCTGTAATTGCTCTCTTTGATTATTAGCAGATCGGTAAGGTTGGACCAAAAAGTCTCTCTATTGATTTTTTTGAGGGACAGAGTGAAAAGTAGTGCACAATATACTGGGAGGTTTTGTGACTTCCACATAGAAAGATTAAAAAGCCACAATCTCTTGGGGCAACCTGCTGTCAGACTACTCTTCATCCATATCAGCAGTGCAGCAGGCTGCAGAAATCAGGTGTCCTAGAGTTTAACCTAAAACTGCTCTCTGACCCTTTGCACACCGTGCATGTAGAATATCAGTCTCACCTCTGATAAGCAAATCACAGAGATCTAAGGAAAAATACAACTTGGAGTGACAAACTTCAGAATTGGTTTTGCAGAAGCAAAGCTCCTGAGCTACCTGGTGGCTGCTGTTAATCAGCCTAAGTGGAAGATTTTTCCTTTGATGGTTTATGAAAATACAGAATTCTCTTATCAGTTATCCTTACACTTTCCTTTTGCTTTCTTAATCCTTGGTGTATGCTGTCAAGAAAATGTGATGGTACATAGATAATTGCTTCGGGAGCTATGAAAAAAATCACTTGCTTTGATGCTACATACAGGTTACAGATGGATAACACTCTTAAGACCAGCATCTTCCAAGATGTTTCTGATAAGCAATATGGGAACAATCTTACTCATGTGATTGGGTAGGATTAATTTCTGCAGGCAGTGGTTCCTTGAATTAGCAAAGGTTTCAAGTAGATAAAAAAAAATCTAAACCTACCTATTAGAGGAAAAATTATTGGGTTTAATTTTGAATATTTTACTGTTCTCCTTGGCATACATGTGGTCTGCCATCTGGAGCTTCTGCTGTGTTGTGCTGTTGCCTCAATGGATCAGAGATCTAGTTTTCTTCTTAACTGTTAAATATAATTTAAATTACTTGAATCCCTTTAGCTTTCCTGTAGGTTCTGGAGATGCTAGGGAAGGCAAAACTTGTATTTTAAACTTTCATGATCTCTTTTGTATTCCGTAATGTAAGTGGAAAACAAATGAAAAGGGGTTTCACTAGAACTTGGCAACAGACCCCACTGAGGGAAGCAGTTTTTCTTTGCAAATACAGTTTCATAGAAGTGAAAGAAAAAAAGACATTAAGCAAAAGTTGAAAGCTTCTGCTCATAAACAAAGATCAAGTGCTGATCTTACATCCTAAATTTTTGTTTTCTTCATTTGGGCTTAATGAAAGCTCCTTCTCTGAAATGGCAGAGGATGAACAGCCCAGTAAACAATAGGGGTCCAATTGATGCTTTAGGGATGGTCAAAAAAATAGTGATATATCCTGGGTGTCTTTTGTTAGACAGATCCACTGCATCAGAAGTGCAGAACTAAAGCGAACAGCATGGAAAAGCACTGGTTCCTCTCCAGAGATTATAGAGGGTTTTTCCGTGGGTGACCATTTAGAAAGGAGGAGGAGGCCTGGCTATTCAGATTTGCCACTGAGGGAGAATTTAATTCCTGATTTTGTTGTAGATATTGGAACAGATCTTTCCCTCAAAGTACTTTTGTAAGGATGGTAGAAGTATAAGCAGTCAGAAATCTATAATAATCTTCTGTTTGATTGTTTTTTAGTGTGTCAAGACTTATTTTTGTGCGACACCTCGGGGGTGTTCTGGCAGTGGCTAACATCAGGGGCGGTGGTGAATATGGAGAGACTTGGCACAAAGGTAAATCAGTCCCAAGTACAGCAACAAAAGTACAGGCAATAAAGCTGAAAACAGTTTCTTTTGCTCTCTTTTCCATATATACTCATTTGCTTTGTATTTATTCAGGTAGTAACGTCTTTTTTTCCTTGCATATAATATTTAATCTGCAGCTCACCCAGTACTGTGAGAGTTACAGTTAGATTGCTTCAGTTTCAGCTTTTGTAGCCTGCTTTAAAAGTCCTGTTCTGCACAGATACGATTTTCCAAGAATATTAGTGCATTTTTTTTCAAAACAAGATCAAGTTCCCAGACTTTCAGGATTTAAAAATGCACCTGTTTATCTTCAGTGATCTTTCACATACCTTTTTTATTAATTGCAGTTGCACATACGGAAGAATCAATCAATGCCTGCATATTTGTAATTCCCAAATTTTCATCAGAGCTTTACCAGGTTTAAATGTGATATCTAAACTATATCCAGACCTTGCCCTGTATTAAGATCTTTCAGGATTTGGATTACAGATCCTAAGTCTAGTCCTCTGCTCTTGAGAGCTGGCCCTACAATTCCTGATGCCCAGAAGGAATCGCCATTGCCTGCTTTGCCTCTCACAGTTTTGCTCAAAAATTGCCATGTCATCCACTGCACGTGACGATAGGAGGGCAGCTTCCTGCAGGGAAACATTCAGGCATTTCAGCCTTTTTTTAAGCTGACTGACTAATGCTGCAAGAAAACTCCCTACAAAATCCTGTCCACATCTTTTCATCCTTTATCAATATTCTTTGCTAAATTTCTCTCTAGTCTTTCCCTTTCTGGTCCTCGTTCTTTTATTGCCCTTGTTGACTTGTCTTATTGCTGACAACTTTTGCATCCCTTTACCAAAGCAAAAAGCTGGAGAGTGTCACACTCAGCTCAGGAACACATCCACTGTTATTTACTGATTTACTTGCGTGTCCAGAGCCTGGGGGCCAAGTTGCCAGAGAAATTGTCAGCTGGGTGAATGTGCCAGAACAGTAGTGGTCATGATAACAGCAATTCACCATAGGAATAATCCATAATAACTTTTTATTAAACAAAACGGGATTCCCAGATCATTACAGTTTGGTATTTCCATATCATCTGCTCTAACTCTTTCCTCTGGGTCATTTCCTCACAATTAAGTTAAAGATCTAATGGTTTCATAAATAGAAGCCACGTATGCTCACAAATACAGAAGATTATTGCTAAAGACCTTATCCTTGCATCCTTCATTAATTTTAATTTGTCCGTTGGTTTGTAATAAGTTTTAATAAAATTTATCTTAATATGATAATGCATCTTTCGTTTACCTATTTCCTGTTCAATTTTGACCTGAGTCTTTTAGTGCGGTTACATAATTATTTATCTATCTGTCCTTTGTTAATTCTAGAAGCAAATACAGAGTCTGTTTACTTAGATTTGCAACTTAATTATATAGATGGGATTCTGACCTTACCCCAGACCAAAAGTTTGAGCAAAGAGTAGGATTTCTTGCATGGTTTTATTGTCTCTTGTTTTTCACTGCAGTTCTTCTCTCCAGTTTCTATCCCTTGCTGCCACGCTGTATTAGAATTATCCCAACATGTCTCTCTCCTGTGGTCCTTTTTAACGAGAGCATTATGCATATTGATAAAAAAAGAAAAAAAGAGTTCACTGTTGTTCCCAGTCCTACAAGGAGATATGTGCAACTAAAGGTTGGAATCATCTAACTTTGGCAACCTAAACATGAAGCATCCATATAAGCTGGGCATTTATGTTCTCTGCATGGACAGAGACACCTCTGGATGTCTGGACACCTTATTTTAGGGTGGAATTAATTGTCCTGGGTGAGGACAGGAGTCCTGGAGTGAGAGCCTGGGCAGTCAGCTAGGACTAAAGACCCAACTTCTAGGTGAAGTGAAAGGGAGTTCCTCTCCCCCCAGATATGTGGGGGATATGCACACACACACTGAACGAGACTGCAGTTTTTGCTACAGGAACACTAGGATTTTCTTCACAGTTCCCATTTCTTGCTAGCATTTAGCTGCCTGAGAAATACTCGCCGTACCAGGTCTATGGCAGACTGTGTAACCTTTGAGGAGAAGCTATTTTCACAGTCTCTTGCCAAACAGGCCTCCAAGGGAGATGGATTGCGATACTGTGAGATTCGGTCATCTGAATGCTCTAGATTGATTTTCTTCTTCTCAAACAATAGAAAGATTTTAGGGAAAGACCAGCTTTTCTCTTTCCTATCCTACTCTGCAAGAATTTGTGTCTTGAGACCTAGAAATTTTATTTTTTATATCACCTAAACCTGCATTTTCCATCATGATTTATTTCCCCTTCATATGATTGTGCTTGGACGTTGTTTAACAAGATTGCACCCTGTTTACTTTGAACATTTTGATATTTATAGTTTGTTAATAAAATTTCAAAACAAGATGTGACTCTAAAGTCCCTTTATTGGCAATAGCTGTGTTTCACCCAATTTGGGAATGAATAAGAGAAAAAAGGAAAATTACCACCCACTCATTGTGTTTCCAGGAAATTGTAAGCACTTATTTTATGCAGAAGCAAATTCAAAGCTTTCTTGTTTTAAGAAACCATCAGACTTTTGGTGTTGAAAGGGTCTCATTTTTGCTCTCTTTCTCAGCTGCATCAGTTATTAAAATGTTCTTGAGACTGGAATTGTTCCCAGGTATTTCTGTACACGTGTATTTCTGAAGAGATGGTCTCAAATGGATATTATTGACTCAGTGGATTTGTTTTATTTGTGTACTAGGTGGTATCTTGGCCAACAAACAAAATTGCTTTGATGACTTCCAGTACGCTGCCAAGTACCTTATCAAAGAGGGCTACACATCTCCAAAGAAGCTGACTATTAATGGGGGCTCCAACGGGGGCCTTCTAGTGGGTAAGAATTTTGTGAACATTTCCTGGCTTTGGTGCTGAGGTTTATCAAATTAACTAGACAAAAGATGTATGAGACCCTCTTTCAGAAAGTTGCCCGAATGTCATTGCCTTAAGATAAACCAAGTGCTATATAAAATTCTGATTCATTTACTGTTTGCATAGAGCACTGAAATACTGCAATCTCTAGCAGGTGCTGTCTATTAAAACCTTGTTTAAAGTAACTATCCTGAGTTGTGTGCTATAGCTAACCCTGTGCGAGAGACACACAATAGTTAAGAGTGCTTAAAAAACTTGTTTTAACTTTCTCTTTCTTACAGCTACCCCCCCCAAAAAAAAAGAGAAATGTTTTATTTAACACTAGGAGACATTGTGTGGGCTGTTGTATGAGCTAGAGCCCCACATGCTGCAATCCTTCGTTGGAGGGCCTCAGTCTTTCTGTGGTTACACCTTCTCATTCATAGAAGGAAAATGAAAACATGATCATTGAGTGCTTAAGGCCTTTGTACAGGGATAAGTAATAATTTGATTTCATTTATAGAGTTAAAACACAACTACAACTAAAACAATGAATGTCTGTGGTGAGAAGTGCAAAATAGTAAGTGCAGCTACTTCGAAAGAGAAAGCCATGAGCTGTGTTATGTTGCCACAGATGCGTTTTTATTCACATATTGTTCACTGATCCTTCCAAAATTCAGGAAGAACAATAGCTGCTTCTTAAACAGAAAAGCTTGTCACAAAAAGGCCTCATAGTCTAACCAGTGTTTAAAGAGTAACAACATTTCTCTCTGATTGAATCCCACTATCTGAAGGTAGTATAAGAAAAGGAGGGGTGCTGGAGTTAATTCAATCTTGAAGGCAGAGGGAAACGTAATGAATAAGAATGAGGTTTGTTTGGATTTACTTAAAGAATATGATACACGTGTGACAGTGTGGTGGAGTCAAGCTCATGAAGTGAGATGAAGAAAAGCATACTGAAAGTTTACAAATCATAGATTTATAGAAAATGGGTAGATGACTAATATCACCTGTGGATCTGTTTTTTATTCTTTAATGATCTGCAGATGACAGCCCTTTTTTTACCTGAGCCTTCTTGGAAATTCTTACAGTCCTATTTAAAGGAAGCATCTGTTTTTAAAGATAAATAACATCTTAGAGTACATGTACTTTTTTTCTTTCTGCATAAGTACTTCTCAAATACAGAGGCAAAAGGTACTTGTAAATAAGTGCACAAATAGAAATGGATGAACATATACAACGTTAAAGGGTCTACACATCACTGTGAGTCCAAGCATGAAACAAAACTACCCTGTGTGGGCTAATCTGTTTTATTTGGAAATTCAGTTCACAGAATCACAGAATGGTTGAGATTGGAAGGGACCTCTAGAGATCATCTAGTCCAGCCCCCCTGCTCAAGCAGGGACACCTACAGTTAAACTTTTGAAAAATGTTTTTTATACTTACCTGGACTTTAGTTTCAGTCAGGAGATTAATCCTGCCCAGGTTCAGTCATCAGAACCCCCTGTGTCTGCCAGGAGGAGCCAGCTGCCTCCTCTAGGGAAGGGGGAGCAAGTGGCCTTTGCAGAGAGCAGCTCGTTGCAGGTGAAGCAGGTCTCATGCGTCTGGGCCTCACTGCTGTGGAGATCTGTTGTTGGAGACCGTCCCTTGAAGTCGCAGATCGGTGCGGGTGTCCTCAGGCTTCCTGAGCTGCATGAGGGGTTTCCTTGGCTCGGTGAAACTCTGTGGCTGTTGGAAATGTTTAGAAGCAGGTTTTCGCCAAAGCAGAACTAAATTCTCAAGAGTGAATAGCTGCTCATATATAGCATTGCTGATGCTTTAGATGTAATGATTCTCTGCCAGAATTTCTTACTCCACACTTTTTGAAGAAAAACCTGGCAAGGAATTACCATTTTTCCAAAATGCTGTTTCCTTTTAGTCTAATTATCAGGAGGTGACTCTGAGGAGGGCAGAGCTCTGACCTCCTGGCTCATTCAGCTGCAGAACAAGGTCTCCTTGTCCTGCAGAGCGGGAGCCTGAAGCTGAGTGGGGCAGCACAGCTGGGAGGTGAAAGCCTCCTTCATGCAAATACAGTGTTTGGCACTGGTGTTTGCTTGGGCAGACATTTCTGGGCTTTTGTGATTTTATCTTTGTACGGATTTTTTAAAAGAAACCCAAAATATGTGTAGAGGATAAAACTCATGAAGAAATTGTTCTACCAAGTTGCAGTTTATTAATGCATATAGTATGCATACTATACATGTATAGTATAATGTATGCATATAATGCATGTATTATGATTAAAGAGATGGAATGAGAGCTGGTGGGTGTCTCCACTTCTTGCTGAAGTAACTTTTCAGAGAATTAAACACAGCAATTCATGATATAATCCAGAGCAACACACAGTGCAAGTCTTGAAGATACACTCTATAATAAAGAATACTAAAATTCAATATTACAATAACTGTTTCAGCTGCTTTGCCCTACCAGAGTAATACTTATGTTAAGACAGAAAATAACATAAAAAGCAGGGATCTAATCAAAAGGTTCACTTAAAAGAGGACTGTGTTTTTTGGTGGCAACTATTGAAGTCTCCCTATTCCTTTTGAAACTGACTCAGAAAGGGCCCAGGAAAAATCAGCATAACTGTGTAGCAGAGATGTCCAGACATAAAACAGCCTTCAAAAAACAGCACATTCAAGTGAAGAAATAGGACAGAGCATTAAGCTCTGGATGGACCAACAGACCACAGAAGATTGATGTGCAAATTGCTAGCAGCGTGAAGATGAACAATAAAACTTTATGGACGTCAGAAGCAGGAAGCTGGCCAGAGAATCTGTAGGTCTTATAGATTAGTGAGGTGTAAAAGGAGCACTGTAGAAAGATAATGGCAACACAGGAGGACTAAATGGTTTATGTTTATTGATGTTCCTTCCTGAGGAGCTTGGGGAGTTCCCTACACCAGAGTCTCTCCCCATGGGGAATGCTCTGAAGAGCTGACTCAAGCTCAAGCACCAGTTGAAGAGGGAGTAGATCAATCAGATGAGAAGTACCGGCTTGCCAGGTCCAGCTGGTGCACACACACGAACCTCAATTAACTCCAGGAGGAAACTGCAGGCCACTAAGCTGAGGAACAGAAGGGGCAGTTGCTTGTGCCAATGCCTAACGTGGCTCACGGTGACCCACGAAGTGCAGATGAGTAAATCTGACTCCTGCCATGGACAGACTGCTTGAAACCAGTAACAGCTGACACATGCAAGAAAGAATCCTGCAGGCTGACGTTGAGGCTTGCAAATCTGTTATGAGTGTTTGAAGGACGCAGAGTGTGGGGCTTGTAACTGTCACCTAGTTGAGGATTTTGTCTTGGGTTTCTGAAAGGTTTTTGACAAGGTCCCTCCCACAAAACTCGGTGAGGAAAAGTTATTTTCAAGCTGGAAGGAAGCTCCTGTTACACCTGGTTAGTAGGAAGGAAAGAGTGGGAATAAATTACCCATTTTCACAATGGAGAAAATTGGAGAATCACAGAAAATTTGGGAGAGAGTTTGTCGAGGTGTGGATGAATAGCAGTGGCCTTTGAATTGAGGAAGGAATTTTGGAATGCACTCAGGGAATTGTTTGAGCATCTCAGTGCTTACTCAGGCACCAAGGATTGAATACTAAATATGATTAGGAAAAAATAAATAACGAAAGAAAACAATACATTTAAGCCTCAATTTCAATCCTGCCAGTCGTCACCTTCTAAATTGAACACTGAGCTAGATGGGCAAATCTGGTTGTTTTTATAATGTGAGGCAAGTGCTGTGCTTAAAGCAATTATTCCCTTTTCAACCTCTTTTAATATAAAAGATATAAAAAGAAATAGGGACAGGTTTTCATTTGGATTTGCATAGTAATTATGGAAGAAAACTTTCATCTACAAATGATGAGATTTTTTGCTCCTTAATGCCCTTTTCTTTGTTGATGCTGTTTAGCAAATAAACAGCTTAGAAAGCATCAATTCCATAGCCAAAAAGCTCGTGTACATAGTACATAAGTTTTTAAAGTACTTTAAACTCAGCTTTAAAGTACTCTTAAACGCAGCTTGCCTGGTTTGGAAGGCCGTTTTCAGAGTGCTGTGTTTTTGGTGCTTAGAGATCAAGGAAATAACTCTTACGCATATTTTTAAAATGCCCCCTTTGCAAGTTAATATTTTTATGTTCTTGTGCATTTGTTTCAGTTTTGCTTCAAAGTCCATTTGATTTCATATTCGTTGAAAATCTCAAGTGCAGTTGGTTTTGTATTAGACTGTACTCTCTTGTTTTGCTTCAGACACGATGTGGGAATCTTATGTTTCTTACTAGTTATTTTAGCTTGACAGTTTTACACATTTCGGGGAAAAAAAGACAAAAAAAATATCAAAAAAGAAGCCGCCTTATGCTTTTCGGTGTGGGCTCATTGGCGGTGGACGCGTGGGCTTGGACCTTCCTTCCTTCCTTCCTTCCTTCCTTCCTTCCTTCCTTCCTTCCTTCCTTCCTTCCTTCCTTCCTTCCTTCCTTCCTTCCTTCCTTCCTTCCT